AAATCAAGCACAAGAGTTGGTAGCAAACATAATAATTGACAAAAGATACTACCTTAATCCTTGCAAAATTCAAGCATGATTATGAAGTAATTTTACTCCTGATTTTCTGTTTGGTGCTTAATTCTAAGAAAATTTTGATATTTTAGTAAGGATACATATTAATTTTTCTAATCTAAATGTATATTTAAATAAAACAATTTTTAGATTGGTTTTAGGATTACAAATGTTAATTATCAGCCTAAATTAATGTCAACTATTATTATTATTATTATTATTATTATTCAAGAGATTTTGTAATGATGGTCTTGTATTATTATTATTTCACTCAAAAGAATCCAATTGCATACAGACACACAAAAAGAACAAAAGAAAACTTCTGAAGTACCTAGTTTCTTAAGCTGAAAAGCACCTTACAATAAAGTAACAAAAACATGAGCTAGAACATAGACTTGATTTCAAAAGTTTATTGTGGTCTGGTGAACATTTCTCTTCTTTTTTCTTAAACAAGGTTTCTTAGTGCTAGGTTTTGTTAGGACTCGGGCAACCTTGACAAAATTAGTATCTTCCTAACATTTGCTTCTGGTTTATTTAATATTTCACTTTGGTTTGGCTTTTAATTAAATTCTTTTTTCATTGTAACCTAGAAAATTTGTCTTTAATATGCCTAGGTTGGTGCATGTCTCATTAGTTTATGTATCTTATTCTCATTTCTTGACATAATTCATTCCTTTGACAAGGTTTTGCTTGCTCTATGGAATGTATGGCTTTCCTTTGAGCCTGCTATTTTCTAATGTACATTAAAGGAAATTATTTGATGCCTAAAAATTCAACAATGTTCTAACATTCTTTACTCAAATATTTTGCTCAATAGGGATAAAAATTGTCTGTTGATAAACTTTGTCATCAAATACCTTCTCAGGAAACTTGCATTTATTGTCTTTAGAACTTAGAGTTGGCTCCGACACATAGAGTAGTTAGTAGCATCTTATGAATTACCGACTAAATTGTTTGAATTTATAAGTTCTTTTATTATTTGGACAACTAAGCAATATTTCATTTTCAAGGAAATTGAAACTTTTATTAGATGCAATACATGCACTGTTGGGATAGAAAAACATTTATAACTCTTCAAGTGAGGTTAGTTGCACTTCTACTTTTGTTAATTTTTTCATCTAGTTCAACCCCTACCCTGCAAAATATCAACCCCCATGCATATTCTATTTGCCCTTGTAGTTTATGATGCACTTAGTATCATGACAAAGCAAGTATAACAAGAATGGGTCAATGATTGCTATAAAAATTGTATGCTCGAAATTAATACTGTTTTAGGGTGCTACAAGCTATAGATTCAAGAGATGTTAGTGTTTTTCTGTGATGGCTTTAAATTTTGAAAAACTTCATCTTGATCTTTTGCATTCAAAATATGGCATCAATTTAAGACTTTTAAGTACATAATTTTTGTTAAAGAAATTTTTTTTTTGAG